CTCACATAATTTATTTTTATTTTGACTAGTTTGTTGACATACTGCCAGACAGCCTAGACTAGAACTGTAGTGTCCTACCATAGCGAGTTCTCTTCGAAGCTGCTGTAAGAGAACTGATCTGCTTGCCAGGGAAGCAGCAGCAGCTGTAGAGAGGACGTTAGCAGCAGCAGAAGCAAGCGCAATAGCAATGGCTACCTCTTCAGCAATATCTGCAGCAACCTCGACTGGTCAGCAGACCAGCTCGCAGTCCATCACCAGTACGTCAGGAACTGGCACTAATCAGATGGTGGGCGTGCAGTCCAGCTCGCCGCCTCCACGCACCCGGGAGTAGATGGAGCTCCAGCAAGTAGAGAGGATCCGCTTAAGGCTAGAGGAGGAACTTGAAAAGGCTACTGAAAGAGAGAATGAAATTCGAAATAGAAGTGTCAGACTTGAGGGTAGGGGGGCAGACAAAGCTCCTTTAGAAGGGTTTGATGACTCAATGCTTGACAACACCACAAAGATTCTCAAGGCGAACATCCTGTCCATGCACACATACATGGACAGCAAACTGGATGCTATCCAGGACACCCTGGACCAGATCCTGAATGCCATGCACAGGCCAGGAGTCAGGCCAGCAGTTTTCCCATTGCTGCCATTCTCAGCGATGACAGGCTCGTATCCGCCTCAGTCTGGTAGCACACCAAGCGGTACATCAGCAGCAGCAGCACAGACTGTTGCTTCTACTTCCTCTAGTCCACCGGTTGGAGCTACACCACAACCGGCACCTGTCTCACCAATGGGACAACAGCAACCATGGTACCCCAAAACCCCATTGAAACACCTTCCACCTTCTCAGGTGATAAGGAGGTGAAGGCTCTCGACATGTGGTTGAGAACGGTTCCAGTATGGGTAAGGGCGAAGAGGAATCTGGTAGAGGAGGAGGTGATAATTGCTGCATCCTACTTAAGAGGGTTCAGCAGCTCATTGGCTAAACGAATTAGTAATATTCAAGGGATTCGGCAGGAACATACCCATACCCTAGAAAGCTTTATGGACCTGGTGGAAGCTCGATGGCACAACCCACAGCAGGCACAGATTGCCACTGATGGGATTGCTGAAAATTGATACTAAGAAGTACAAGCGTGTGCGCGAACTCACCTCTACCGTAGAGTGTCTGATTGTCGGCCCTGGGGTACAATATAATCCACAGGCGCTATGACCAGGTTCTTGAGGTGCTCAACAAGTCCCTACGGAGGTGCTCAACCCGTTCCCATAGACATCAAGAACTTGCTTGCAAGTGAGGCTCGGCTAGAGTATCACACGTTCCGGACCTTTAGCAAGAAGGCCTTAGATTTAGAGGCTACACTGGGAGGTGCTCAACAAGTCCCTACGGACGGAACGAAGAAGAAGGGTCCACAAGAACGAAAGAAGAAGGGGAGTCAATTAATGATGGTCGAGGCCGATGGTACTTAGACCGAGATCGAGGATTCCTCCGACCTTGTGGACAGTACAGAGATAGACGGCGAGGATGATGCTGAGGGTAGCAACCTCGCTGCAGTAGTAAAGGGTAAGGCAGGTGGCCGTGGCAAGGGAGGTCAACAAAGGAGTCAAGGGAAAGCCCCGAACCCTCGATCGCGGCTTGAGCTCGAGCGGGCTTGGATCAAGAGGTGTGGCAGGACCGTTATTCGCGGGGTGCTTGTATTAATTGCGGCGAATATGGCCATCAGCAGTTCAAATGTAAGAACGCAAAGATACCGCAGAAGATACCACCTAAGGGTGGGATTCCCTTCTCCCAAGGCAGGCCCTCTACGAGCTCTAGCTCGGGAAACACCTAGGGCCAGTAGAAGTTGTAGCCAGTGATGTACCCTCCCCGTTTCAAGATGGCCGAAGTTATCGACTCCTTAGTCACCCAGCAGACGCGTCCTGACCCAGCGATACTCTGTTTGTGTGTCTGAGGCCTTAGAGGACCTACAAAGTGAGTCGTCGGGAAGGGACCCTCGGGAGTCCTAGGCGGCACTAAGTCGAGGTCCTAGAGGGGAGCATTTCATTGTGGAAGTTGGTGTAGGAGACTGCAAGTGCGGTGCCTGCGTAGACATCGGCTCCACCAGAAACTTCATAAGTCGCAACTGTGTTGATGGACTGTGCCTACAGGACCGGGTGCAATGCCTGAGACTGCAAGTGCGGTGCCTWCGTAGACATCGGCTCCACCAGAAACTTCATAAGTCGCAACTGTGTTGATGGACTGTGCCTACAGGACMGGGTGCAATGCCTGAGACTGCAAGTGCGGTGCCTACGTAGACATCGGCTCCACCAGAAACTTCATAAGTCGCAACTGTGTTGATGGACTGCGCCTACAGGACTGGGTGCAATGCCTGAGTAGACCCATCTACTTTGGCCAACAAAGAGCGCATGGTGGTGGAGGACTATGTTAAGAACATGGTCTGCACTTTCTCCTATGCAGGAGGGGAACTTGATCATAAGATCCCGTTCCTGGTTAGCGACAACCTACCATTTGACATGTTGTTAGGTATGTACTACCTTGAGGTTGCCAGGCCCTAGTTTGATTGGACAAGAAAGTGCTGAATCATGAGCTGCCTAATGGGAGGACCGTTAGACTAGGTATATATAAGGCTAGTAGGTTAATTGACTCCTACGGGTGTTTATGCGCATCGGCCTTGTATAATTACTATAAACAAAACCAAGAGGAGGGTATGTACCTGGTATTTATCTCTGAGAAAGGGGAGCCCGTTAAATCACCCCCAGAGATAGAGAGTGTCGTTGCTAAGTACGCTGATCTGTTTGAGGAGCCCACAGGTGTCGTAGATAGGGAGGTTGTCCATGCCATAAAAATCATCCCCGGGAGCAAGATACCCAAAGGGAGAATCTTTAGGATGGCTCTTGCCGAGTTGGACGAGCTTCGGTGACACCCGAAAGAGCTCACAAAAAAGGGTTGGATACAGCCAAGCATCTCCCCCTTTAGCTCATCAGTTCTATTTGTACCGAAGAAGGGGGGATCATTGAGGATGTGCATTAATTATAGGGACCTCAATGCCATCACCATTAAAAACGCCGAGTTGGAAGGGAGGTGCACACACACACACACACACACACACACACACACACACACACAGAGTGAATGAGACCACAGAGTTGGAAGGGAGGTGCACAAAGACAATGTGGACACAGAGGCGACCCACACACTAGAGGGAGGCAACATAAATCATCTCACTAGAAGCCTGGTTGCCTCACAGCACATCCTCCAGATACATTATTCAGGATGTGCTGTGAGGCAACCGGGCTGCCAGCGAGGCCACCTTTGATTTATGTTGCCTTCGCTCTAGTGCGTGGGTCGCCTCCGTCTCCACATCGTCTTTGTGCACCTCCCTTCCAACTGTGGTCTCATTCATTATGTGTGTGTGTGTGTGTGTGTGTGTGTGGTGGGGAGGTGCTTCAGCCGGCTCGGTGGGGAGGTGGTGGGGAGGTGCTTCGGTCGGCTCGGTGGGGAGGTGGTGGGTAGGTGCTTCGGCCGGCTCGGTGGGGAGGTGGTGGGTAGGTGCTTCGGCCGGCTCGGTGGGNGTCAGCGGTACCGGTCCCAGTCAGTCACAGTCCAGTCAAGCAAGTACCGTGTGGGACCTGTCTCTTATACACATCTAGATGTGTATAAGAGACAGGTGTATGTGTGTGGGTGTGTGGTGGGGAGGTGCTTCGGCCGGCTCGGTGGGGAGGTGGTGGGTAGGTGCTTCGGCCGGCTCGGTGGGGAGGTGGTGGGTAGGAGCTTCAGCCGGCTCGGTGGGGAGGTGCTAAGGAGGGGAGGGGGTGGTTTGTGGTAGCTCTTTTCCGCATGTACTGTCAGACTGGAGAGAGAGAGAGAGAGAGAGAGAGAGAGAGAGAGAGAGAGAGAGAGAGAGAGAGAGAGAGAGAGAGAGAGGAGTTCTTCTTCATCTTCTCCTCTCCTTCTCCTTTTTGAGAGAACACAGGGACAGCTGGTTACGGTGTGATGTTCTTGGAGAGCCGTCCTCTGCTTACAGACATATGAGGCATATGTTGTTTTGAGGTGTTTGAAGTGAAGCATCGACACACCATAACCAGGTGTCCCTATGTTCTCTCTCAAAGGAGAAGGAGAGGAGAAGATGAAGAAGAACTCCTCTCTCTCTCTCTCTCTCTCTCTCTCAGTGAATGAGACCACAGAGTTGGAAGGGAGGTGCACAAAGACAATGCGGACACAGAGGCGACCCACACACTAGAGGGAAGGCAACATAAATCAAAGGTAGCCTCACTAGCAGCCCGGTTGCCTCACAGCACATCCTGAACAATGTGTCTGATCCTGGCCAAGCATAGGGCTAGGGCTCAGTCCTATCCCGGAAAACTCATTCCAGACCGTCCAGATCGTCCTGATGATCCAAACTAGTGGAATGAATGTGGGCCCTGCACCCAGGTCGACTTACATTTTCGGTCTGGAGCTGGATGCCCTGTTTGAGCCGACCTTCTGCATCAGCAGCTACTTCTGCTCTCGTTTCAAAGGCTGCAGATTCAGACAATCCCCCCCGGTGCCAAACTTCATCAGGAATGGGCAGACCGGACAGAAATAGCTCCAGTCACCAATGCAGCCAAGAATCTCCCCGGGCCTACACCAACCGGACACTCTGAATGGCACCTCTGCTAACAGGCACAAATCAGAGTGGACATCTCTCTCCAAAAATAACACAATTGAAAGTACAAACTAAATATAGATCCTTCCCCCCCACAAGGTGCAGGCCTCCCAGAAAAAGTCGTTGGGCCCTCAGTCAGTGGAAACATTTCCCAGAAGCACAGCACATAAAAAAGAACACACCATCGGCACATGGCTGGCATGCTCACCCACACCAAAAACGACACAGAATTGGCATGTGGCTTGCATGCTCACCCACACATTGGCCAACCCAGGTGCTGACTGTTGGACAACCGCTGGCTACCGCAAACAACAATCCTAATAAAGAGACCAGCAGGGAGAGACATGGAACAAAGGCAAGCACACTCACCTGTAGCTGCAGCGGCTCCACTATTCTTGTTACGGCCGGCAAGGCAAATCCAAACTGCCTAACATCCATTGCTGCAAAAATGCATAGCACATCCAATGCAACTCCACGCAGAGACTCTTCAGGCCTGCCACACCACACAACCGCTCCAATGTGTGAATGCACACCTGCCTGTCTGTAACAGTGCTTATGTGGACTTCCATAAAAGTCAGGCTGAGTCAACAAGGTGCACTGTAATCCTGTGCCAATTAGCTTCCCTGAATGTGAACAGCGGAAAGCAACAAAAACTGAACTAAGAAGGCCCGGCGCGTGAGCAGGCGGCACAACACTTGCATTGTTCGTGGTCACATGTTGGAATGGGTCACAGTCAATCGCATCCAGAAACACCAAACAGGTGTTACAACAGAACCTGATATGTGATCCGTGTGTCACAATTTGTGGTTATGATGCTAAGTGGTAAATACACAGATAACCGAGGTAAGTGAAAATGCATTACGTAATTTGCCTGTTTGTGGTATTACTGGACTTCTCCTTTTGCTGGTAACGTTTGCCTGTAGGTGGTATTACTGGACTTCTCCTTTTGCTGGTAATGTTTGCCTGTAGGTGATATTACTGGACTTCTCCTTTTCCTGGTAATGTTCTTAGTTGCAGGCAGTGATTACGTTCCAAAATACATTGGACAAATCTGGAAATGTTAGGAGATCTCAACTTTATAGCACTTATTTTTATTTGTTCCTGGTCGTTACGCTGGATTCAAATCCTATGCACTTCGTTTGGCCCTCACATCAGTTCACTCAATTTTCAATTTCCATAGCTAAATGGATGCAAAAGTTCAGAATAGATCAGACTACTTTGGAGCTATAGTTCACTATCTGGATATAGGGAGTGACCTGCAGGAGAAAGTTAGACAGGGAGAAAGTTAGACAGGCGTATGCGCAAGACCCTATCTATAGTGACCTCCTCAAGAGAGTCAAGGAGGCCCCAGAGACCGCGCCGGATTACCGCACTACAGAGGGGTTGTTATTTGAGAAGACCAATGTAGTAGACCGTCTGTGCGTTCCTAATAGTGAGGAGATCCGTAGTTTGATCCTAGGGGAATGCCACGGCACAGAGGGACACTTCGGTTGGCAAAAGATTCTAGCCAACCTGATGCATGCATATACATGGCCCGGAATGAAGAACGACTGCATAGAGTATGTCCTCAGTTGTAAAGTTTGCCAGAGAAACAAGAGCACCATGCGTGCCCCTCTAGGTCTTCTCAGACCCTTGCCCATTCCAGACCAGCCAGGAGACTCAGTGTCTATTGACTTTATGGATACCCAAGTCAAGAGTAGGCACGGCAAGAGCCAAGTCATGGTCATAGTTGATCGATTTAGCATATATATGCTGTTTTTGTTCCTTTGCCTGCAGAGGCCCATACTGAATTAGTGATTCAGAAGTTTTTTTATTTTTGGGTTAGTGAGCATGGAGTCCCATTGTCTATAGTTAGCGATAGAGATAGTCGCTTCACTAGCCAGAACTGGCAGGAACTGATGAGAGTCTACGGATCCAAGTTGTTGATGTCGTCTGGCCGCCATCCAAAGACTAACGGTCAGACTGAGCAGATTAACAAGACCCTGCAGCAAGTTCTGCGCATGTATATTAGACCTGATCAAGTCAATTGGGACGAGATGTTGCCCAAGGTAGCCAGTGCGCATGTATATTATCCACCTCTCGCACTCCCAATGAGTTGCACAAGTCCTTTAGACCACGCAGACCGTTTGAGGGACTTAACCGGGATCAGATTCACAGGCTACCACCCGGTACCAGGGAGTTCGCGATACCACACGAGGAAGAGATGGCCACTGTTGTTGAGAACCTCAGGAAGGCCCAAGACCGGATGATAGAACAGGCTAATAAGCACCGTCGCCCAAGTAGGCGATTGAGTCTGGGTCAAGTCCAAAGAGTTTGCTCCTGAGGAAAATATCTCGCAGAAGTTACTGCCTGCGTATAGAGGACCGTGGCCAGTTCTAGAAGTCAAGGGCGGAGAGGATGGACCGTCCTACACAATGGAGATACCAGCACACCTCCATACCTACCCTGTGTTTCACGCATCAAAGTTACTGCCGTGTTGTCACAAGTCCACAGTTTCCATCTAGACGGTCCATGATCCCTCCGGACATGGACGGAAGGTACGACATTGACGCCATCGTAGGTGAAGATGTGTTTAGAACGGGAGGTAGAGGTCATCCACAAAACCAGTATAAGGTCCGATTTGCTTATCAGGAGCCAGAGGACGACCACTGGTTTACGAGAACAGAACTAGAAACAGCTCCTGACATAGTTAGAGCCTATGAGAGAGATAAGAAAGGAGAAGGTCCTGCCTTGGACTGAATTATTCTCGGAGGACCTCGAATTTAGGCCGGCGGGAGTGAAACGGTATTCACCAGTTCGCAGTAGCCGATGCAGATCCCAGGGCTCGATCCCTAGATCTCACCTTACTTGTGTACAGTATCTGTGTCGACCCCGAGAGTTGAACCTGTGACCAGTGTATTTGCAACAGTTGGTAGACTGTCCTAGGGTTCGTAGGTAGCAGGGGTTCGATCTGTAGACCTGTCGAGCAGAAGTCCTAGGGAGTTCTAGAAGTCGTAGACGTAGAACTTCCGAAAGGTCAAGGTCGTAGCTGCTACAGTCCTGAAGGGTCAAGGTCATAGCTGCTACAGTCTTCGAAAGGCCTGGACCCAGACTTCCGAAAGGTCCTAGTAGTGGCCTTTCGAAGTTGCCAACGTTTTGGCTGAGGCAAGTGGGCATGTGGTGAGCCCAACTGCAGTACATCGGCAGTGCGACTGCATCGAGTTGGCAGTGCAAGCCCATGCAGTCAGCAGTACCAGTCCCAGTCAGTCCTAGTCCAGTCAAGCAAGTACCGCATGGGACTGTGTGCACCACGGGCAAGGGAAAGGGCCAGACCAACGAGCTACAGAAGTATAAATCAAAGGGCAGCGTCCAGCCATTCATGCATTCCTGCGTGAGCCATGCGGAAACGCTGCTACAGCGACTTGTGCGAGGTGGTCTGCAGTGAGACCGAAGAGTGGGCGAGAGAGAAGAAATTTAGCCATAGCGATAGATTAGCAGCGGCCATAGCCGCCATAGCTGTAGATAGAGTTCAGTGTGTGTTTGTGTGTTTGTGTGTGTGTGTACAGAATATCGCATGTCGGATATCCAGGGTGATCCTATGTGTGTGCGAATAGAGAGTTGTGTGGGCGCTGTGTCGCCATAGCCAATGAAGTGAACTTGTATCTGAACTGTGTTCTCGGCTACCATATCTCTGAGTTTGCTGCGCACCTGTTTGTATGCATGCGAAGTGTGAATGAGAGCGAGTCCGATTGCACAGGGTTACAGTGTTACCGAACCGAAGATTCGGGGGGGTCTACCCCTCCCCCCCCCCCCCGGCGTCCTGAGTGTTCCAGCCATTCGGGAGCCCCAGACATTCGAGAGTTACCCCAGATGTAGGCTTAAGATTCTTTTTTTTTTTTTTTTGAAAGGGGGAGAGGTGGGATTCCCCTGCTCGTAAAGTTTGTGCCTGACAAATTTCATGTCATTCTGACAAACAAACAAAAAGAAAAGTCAAAATCACAGAAGAATGGGGGTGAAACATATTGAGTAGCCACCCATTTCTTTCATTTTTTCTTTCAACTTTGCTCCCCTCCCCCCCCCCCCCTTCTTGTTTTTGTCTTGCCTTATCCATCACTCGATCCATCACTCGATCCATCACTCGATCAATCACTCGATCAATCACTCAATCAATCAACCAATCACTCAGTCAATGGTACTTAAGCTGGGTGGAACTATATGGGGTAAGCGGTGCTATGTCGGCGATGAGGTCCCTTGGTTATAAGCTAACTAAGTGGGCTCCGTTTAAAAGTCAAAAATCCCATTCACTTGATTGCTACCGTGGCCCGACAATTGAGGAATGCAGGGGGGTTGCCCTGGAATGACAGTATAGAATCAAATAATTCTGAAATTCATCAGTTTGATGATGATATCTTCAAGTCATCGCCCCACCTGAAATGGTCCATTGTGATGCGTCTCTGCTCTGTGACGCAAGCAGACGTGGCCTCTCACTACCTACCTACCACTATACAGGGGACCCCTGCAATCATAGCTACCTCACAATGAAGGGGTTGCATGTTGCCCCTTGCCAGGGTTAGGACCCCCACTGGGGGCCCAGCTAACACAAGACCAAGCATTTTGCCAGTAGTTGTGGCTCCATTTTTATCTTCCCTCACCCACATAGAGTAATAGCAGTTAGAAAATCATCATGTTATGAATAGAGGGAGGTGAGAAGTTTGAAGGTAATAGGGAAACAAAGAAGGAATTCTTCAAGGGGATACGCACAGAAACAGCCTTGAGAAACTAAGGGAAGTCCTTTGGAACATCCGTCAAATTAGCATAGCCCCTATGCAGGATGACATGCAGAAATAGATTAATAGTCGAGTTTTTTTAGAACGAAAATAAAGGTGAATGAACAACAACTGGTTCATGAGAACAAAGGAAAGGATAAAAGAGTGCAGAACAAGGTCAGCTTATATGTAAGACAAATTGCGTGTGCACTGTGCAGTGGAAAAGCGAGGAGAACTGTGGAAAACAGTTGATATGCAAGTGTGATTAGTCATATAATCCTCTATAAATGGGCGCAGTAGCGTTTTCAAGTTGACTTGTGTGAGGGTTCATTCGAATAGTGAGTGGATGTTTGTTCGCCCGTGATGCATATGCATCTTGCAGGCCTCTTCTGAGAATTGAGCTGCTCAAATTACCCAGTTACTGTAGACTTCAACTGCAGGCCTCCTGATGAACCTGGGCATTGATGTTGATCACACGTTCAACAATGGTTCCTTATTGGTCTCTCAATAAGCAATTCGCAAACTGTCATAAAATATGTCACTTATGTCTACTAGTGCATCATAGGCAAAGTCAGTGGTTTGTACAATGGGATAGGTAAAAGGTTATGTCTAGTAGTGCATCATAAGCGAAGTAAGTGGATTGTACGATGGGATAGGTTAAAGATTAGTAGGTGAAAGGTTGTTCTCCCTCTGCAGTTGGTCATTCACTTTCTGGAAATCAAAGATGGGATCATAATAGTGAGGAATACATGCTCGTCTGGAATATGATGTGGAACTCGAATTTGATTGCACGGCTATGACTGTCATCCTGTTCTCGAACCCGTGCATCTCACCACGCAGGATTAAGAATTTTGTTACAGCTATCCTATAGATCACTCTTCTGCAGCTATGTCATAAAGGAGAACCTGGTTGGATAGTTATTTGATAATTATTTGCCCAGACACTCTTACATGTCCTCCTGCCTTTATAGTAATTGTCCAGCTTCAAAGCATTCACTCCTTTCCAAGGGCATGACAGGCAATGGAGTTTGTTCGTCGTGTGGCGTCTCTCTCTCTCTCTCTCTCTCCATCGATCGATCGGTCGCGCGCTAATGCTTTGGCGATGGTATGTCTTTTCTTCGCGCACCTCCCCCAGGCGCGCCTCCCTCAACTTCGCCACCTTCACTAGGGTTCATCTCAGCGAACAACATTGCCCACTTTGAGTCCGATTACTGGGCGTTAAACTCTATTTTGAGTGGGAGTGACTTCACTTCGAGCAGGCACCGGTACCTGCCATCCGATATGAACATCTCACGGCCCACTGCCGCCGTGTTGAAAAACACTCGAAAGGGAGACTAAACTCACGCTACACGGCCCAGTGTGGCCATGTTCAAAAATATTTGAAAGGGGGACTGGCAAGAGTGGGCTGTCAGATGTTCAGATTGGATGGCAGGTACCGGTGCCTGCTCGAAATCAAGCCCGCTTCTACTGGGACTTCGCCCCGAATGGCCAATGCATCTGGCAAGTCTCTGCGGGAACATGCGCCCGTGCTTTTCCCATTTGGACGGTAGGGTGGCCAGGCTCTTAGTTGTGGCCGAGGAAAAGGAAATGTGCCAACGGGCCTCGCTCCACAACTAGTACCAAATGTGCAAAATGCGAGTGAATCTTCTGCTCGAACATGGAAAGATAAACCGGCATATTTTTTATCTTTTGTGGATGGGGTGCTTAGTGAAGGCAGGCCCCCTACATGGGAAAAGAAAAGGAAAACGCACAACTTGAAAACGAAGAAGCAGAAAAGACGTGACGGAAAAGAGAAAAACAAAATGGCAGTGTCTTCTGACAGCATGCGAGGGAAAAAACGGCACCACCGCGATCCTCTGACAATCTCCAACACAGATTGCGGCGCACTTAAAGCCAACACCGTTCGACAAAGCTCTATCGACGGCCAAAACACAGTATTTCCGCCCCAAAAGCTAATCCCACAGAGAAACATGTGTCGACCAGGTAGGCCCGGACACATTACGTTAGAAACCACCGTTTTGGGCAATCCCGGCCCTCGGTATCGAAATCTTAAGGCCAGAAGTCGCCAAAAAATTATCAGCGCGCAGCGTTCCCTCCGCGTTCAATCCGTAGACAAAATTAGATGTTACAAGCTAGTTGTGGACATCAGAAGACTTACATATAAAATCTACAGGTAACTTAGTAACATATAAATTACTCATGATACAATGCACATAGTTCATCAATGTTTTACATTTCTAATTTACTTCAATTTCATTAACTTTCATGCAAATTTATTTAATAGTATAATTCTGTGTAGCACGGTGAACATGTTCGCCAGGTTCATGCGTTCCGGCAAATGTGTCACGAACATGTTCGCACAAACGTGAAAAAGTCGCCCGCGAACATGGTGTGGGGAGGCGTGGAGGGGTTGGCAGGGAGCTAGGAGCCTGACAGGGTCGAAGGGGGGCAGGGCAGGCATTGCCACACAAACACAGAGAGAGAGAGAGAGAGAGAGAGAGAGAGAGAGAGAGAGAGAGAGAGAGAGAGAGAGAGAGAGAGAGGCCCTCTCTCTCTCTCTCTCTCTCTCTCTCTCTCTCTCTCTCTCTCTC